TATAAACTCCCAAAATATTACTCGCACCTTCAAAGCATTGCTCTCTTAAATCATTTATGGGTAAATTTAATGTGGTTAACATATCACAAACCACTTTCAAAAGGGTTTTAGAATCAGTTTTGTCTCATGCGTAAAAAAAAAAGTATTCTTTAATTTGAAATCTGTCACGGTTAACCGATCGATGAAACCTGTACTATTACAGATATGTCTTAAGTCTTGTCAAACATTATGAAAAATATTTAATTTTCTTAATTTTGGCAGCAACGATTCTGATTAGTTCGAATGCTATCTTTATACATTTTAAGCAATTCGTTTATTATTTTTATGCAAAATGCATTTATATTTATTTCTCCGTAACCAAGAACTCAATTGCGAAACATCTGTAGTTCTAAGTTCTAAAAACTCACTCAAATTTGAAGCTTATCTGTTTGACCAGTCGGCCAGTCTTAATTTTGCGAGTAAAACAACAGTGGAAATAATTTTATCGAGAGCTTCTCTGTTGCTTATTATTGAAAAGAGACACTCAAAATAAAACAACTCGCTATCGTTTTATTTTGTTAATTCACTGTTATTATTCCTTAAAAAATGATCTGAATATTTCGAGTTTTTTTCTTAAAAAAACTCGAAAATTTCAGATCATTTATAAAAATGTACGACTTCTTCGTACATTTTTGTTGCGAGGACGAAATTTATGAAGATATATTAATACCTTTATATTTGTATGATTCTTTGGTAAGATTTTGTTGGTGATTTGCTGATTTTTCATGCATATTAAATCTTTCAATTTCTTTATTCCAACTATTAAATCCTTCTGCGGTAAACTTTAAATAAACAGCCTTGTTAGTTTTGTTTTTTTGACATTTTAAACAGAACGTTTTATTTTTGTCTTTGTCATAATTGAGCCATTTATACGTGTTAAGCAAGGAAGTTTAAAAATTTACAGGTAGAATTTCTAGTAGCCTGCTTCGCAGGTGCATTACAAGAAGATTTAGTTAAATTAGACCGTTCTGAAGCTTGTTCGGAGGAAGCCAAACCCGCTGGTGACACTAGCTGCTTGATAGATGAAAGTACAGAAATTTACAGAAAGTCTGATTATATCTTGAGTTAGGGCAGTAGGTTTATAGTTGGTTCTAATTAAGTATTTCAACTTAGCCATACTAATGATCCTATTGCTGATTTTTAAACTTATAATAAACCTGTAAAAAATATAGCTGTAAATAATTTAAAAATGATAATACCAATTTATTTATAAAAAATTGTTCTGCAGAAACAAAATATAGATATTTTCCACTTATCTTCTTGAATGGACACAAAAGTTGAGGAATAAAAAATAATGAAGAGAGTAGGATTTTGAAAGCAGTGCATACAAATGAATGACTGGAAGGCAGGAATTCATATAACAGATCGAAAGACATCCCAATAGTTTTTTATAACAAAAAAAAGAGGACAAAAAACAAGTTTTTTAAAACATACATTTTATATTAGTATAATGCCCTAAAAGTTAGTAAAGAGTTTTCTGCTATTTAAGCGTGGGTCAACTTTGTTGTTGTTTGTTGTTTTGTTTCTTGCTGTTTCTTTTCAATAAGCATTTTCCGACAAGTACTGCAATGGTCGCATGGTTTTCATAGTGGTTCGATTTTGGCATAATACTATTATATATTATACATTTACTATAAAAGGAATAATTAAATGTTTTATCTTTCTGACAACTTATGTTGCGGGGTTACTTTATATATTATTCAAAGTTACCGCAAACAATACCTCACTACATGCGAAAAAATGTATACAACAATGTATGTTATGTTTTAGCAATGAATAAAAACTATAGTATGGTAACAAATTCCTTAGGATTTTACATGCTTAATAAATTTATAAACTAAAACTATGTAACTTAGACTTCAACCAGCTCTACGAGCTGAGGCAGTGTACAAAGTATTTTTAGGTCTTTTTTTTTAAGAAAAAAACTCGAAATATTCAGATCATTTTTTAAGGAATAATAACAGTGAATTAACAAAATAAAACGATAGCGAGTTGTTTTATTTTGAGTGTCTCTTTTCAATAATAAGCAACAGACTTTATTAAAACGGTGTGGAAGACCGAATAATAAATTAATCTATTGCCATAGAATTCGAATATATATATGAAGCACTTTATATTTTTAAGTAACAACTTCATGTTTTTATTTTGGCAGAATAGGCCAAAGGTACAAAAAAAAATTTTCGTTGTTCAGTAACATTTCTCTTTATTTGTTTTAAAAAAAGAAACTCATAAAAGCTACTGCACTTTAATAATTAGCGCAGTTAACTAAACACGGTGCATAGAAACTTGCTCTATGACCGTGCAACACATAGTCAAATTTTTTTTTGTTTGTTTATTTGAAGTAAATTTTGGAGGCTATTTAAAAGTTATAATAAATTTTAATAAATTTTTGTAGTTAAAATTAAATTTTACCTAGCAACCTGGATTAAAAGAGTACAAAACTAATATTTTAAAAAATTAAAAAAGTTTTATAATTTATAGTATAGTTTATGTATTTCAAGTTTCAAAAGTGAAATTGCAAACAGAACTGTTAACTTTATTAACTACTTACTACTATTGCTAAACTCAGTTGTTACCATTATTAGAATTCAGTATTAGAATTACTATTTTAAATATTAACAATTAGCAAAGCTAACTGCCGCTAATTGTTACAAAATGAAATAATAACTCCTTACCCGTGTTGACTTAAGAACCGAAAACATGCTTTTAATCATTATATTAAAATTTAACTAATGGGGCCAATTTATCATATTAATATTATAAATGCATATTAGAAGTTTTTATTTGAAGCATCATTTAAAATGGCTAATCATGCAAAAGAACACATTCATTTTATTAAAATGTTTTGTGTTTGTTACTTCAGGAAAGGCTAGGATTTGAAAACTTTAACAATGACAAAACAACTCAAATAAATCTAAATAAAAAGAAAAAACTTAAACCTTATTAAAACTATTGTTTGGAAAGATTATTCATTTAATAACTCAGACCTTACCGCCATGTTTTGCTAAGAATATGAAAAAAGGCTGGGAATGAACCATACTTCACGATGCGACAGTGTTATGAAGTTAAATACATATTTATATATAATGCACTTTAGGTAAAATTTAGTTACATTATTTTGGCAATTAGATTTAATTACTAGACATACGCTATGAAATTTAAAGCTAAATACCAGAATTATTAGAGGGAGAAAAAGTGAATGCTTTATATGTGAAAATAGGCGTAAATCAAAAATAGAAAAAATATTGGCCACTATGGTTAAATTCGTTCGGGAAAATCTGTTTATGAAGGCGTCAAAGACGGTTCAAATAAACCTATAAAAAGATTTTTTAGATGTGTCATAAAGAATTCTACATTCCTGTACTAAGTTAAAAAACAAAAGAATTTGACGGCTATTGTAAGATAAATATTTCTTACAACGCAAGAAAAAGTTATGTCCAGTTTTATCAGAATGTTTGAGCACAAATGAGTAAGGGAACACTTTAGTTTTCATAACTTTTGGTACAAAGCAACTTATTGTCTCTGTCGAAAAGAAACCTTTTTTTCTTTGAATAAATTTAACAAAATTCAACTAAAACGATATACCAGGTAAGTTAACTATATACCAATTTTTTAAATAAATGTTTAATATGACTTCTAAGTAATCGCAACATGATGGAAGTTGTAAGCTTCAAACTTATGCCTGTTAAAACTTGCATAAACTACGACAATTATTTGTTAAATAGACTAGAATTTTTTTTGTACATTTTATATTTTGTCGGTTTAGGTTACTGGACCAACAAGCTTTTGAATTTATTTATCAGGATTTCAATCAGTTTTGGAAATAAGAAAATTTGGAGAGCACAGTCCAAACTTTATTGAAATTCAAAAAAAACGCAGTTGTTGCTAACGACAACAAACACTTTTAAAGCAGCTTTTAATTTACAGGTAGCTTGTAAAAAGTACAATATTAACCTCCTATGAATAATTGTTTTACATAATTTTTTGATATATGATATGATTACATTTGACATGCAAAATATATAGTATAATATAACCACACAGACCAGAAAATCCTTTTTTACGGCAATAAAGTAAATGTAGCCAACCCTATTGGACTCCTAGTACCCTTAAAGTATGGTTCCTACCCTTAAAGTATGGTTCCTAAAAAGAAATTTTTTAATTTTTCTTTTGTAATATAATATACTAGATCGAAATTCATCGAAAGATGTTAAATTTCATCCTAAAAAAATTTCTCGTTTAAACATTACGATCATTCACAGTTATTTCAGAGGAGAAAATGAGAGTAACTTAAAGTATGGTTCCTAAACTTTTTACCGTCAGAAGTTCTAAAAGAAGGGAGAATTTTTGATGAAGTTTGAAATCTGTCGATAAATTTTGATCTAATTCGTAATAGAGCTTGAAACAAAATTTATGATCTTATAAGATGTAGATCTAGGAAAGGGACAATTAGGGGTCGGCATTGGGTTAGGTTAACTCCAATTAATTTATTTTTTTGAAAGTCTTCCTCTTTTGATACCAGTACCAGCATACTGGAAATTTGAGTATGCTTTATGGCTCTTAGTTATTTATATTGAAAAACAATTATTGGGCACTCACCTTAAATACGTGGTTCTTTCCAAGGGCTCCAGTGAAAAAGTTTGTTTTTTACATTTCTGGAATAAGGAAGAGTTTTCTGATAATAAACAAAATAAAATTTCTGGGTATGGGTAGTTCAAAGTTATTTTTTATGCATGTAATTTTTTTTTTATGAATTTTTTGAGCAAATATAAATAGGTTAGCATCTTTTTGTAAAATGTCGTTGTTGATCTACTGAAAATACTATTTGTTTGGTATAATAAACATTTAAATCTTAAAACCATTTAAAAAATTGAGCCTTAACCCTGACTTTGTTGTGAAGTGTCACATTTGATATCTTATGTAAAAAAGTTTTCAAAATAAAATTTTATTACGGTACTTACATTCTTGTATTCCTTCAAATTTGATTGTAATGCATTGTTCTTTATTGTCGCAGTTGATAAAAACTTTTAATAGCAGTCCTTGCAAATGACTCTTTATCTTTAACTCAACCTGAACGCAACTATTTTTTATAAAACAAAATTTTGAACGCAACTAGTTTTTATAAAGCAATACTTTGACAAAACATTTATAGATTATTTATTTAAACATTATTACAAACCGTTACTTTATTAGATAACCTTAGATATGTCTTTAATTGATGCAGAAAAATCTCTTTGAAGTAGGGTATTATAAACTGGATTCCAAACCATTATATTTTGATAATCTTGCACAAAAATTGGTACTGGGATAGGTTCTGTATTGCACACTGGGTCATTAGTGTCTGTAGCAAGGATTAGATTATATGATGACATTCCAAATGCTGTGTATATTCCAACCGTTCTGCCTTCTATTAGTAACCTGCAAGCTAAAAAAAATGTTTGTATGGGTTAACTAGACTACTTGCTAACTTTTTTTAAGTACATTATAAGCACCTTAAAGTAACGATTACGTATGGCGAGACAAAAGTTTGGTTAGTTAAAAAGTATGTAAACCTTTGATTAACGCTTACAATGACAAGACTATTTTAAAGGCATTAAAATTTTTTTTTTTTTTTTTTATTGATTTTTAAGTTTCATTGATAAAATTTGTTACTTGA